TCTCCTCACTCCATCGTTCAATAGCAAGAAGGCATTCTGTCTTTTCTCTACATCACCAGCGTCAAGCACAGTCATATAGAATAAGCTCCCCTCAAAATGTCTGACGGATGAATAACTAGGTAAAGGAATGAATTAATTTAACCTGTGTAAGTATCTTTTATAATTTACTTTTTAATATTTATTTATTTATTTGAGACAGGGTCTCACTGTCTCCAGGCTGGAGTGCAGTGATGATCTCGGCTCACTGCAACCTCCGCCTCAAGTTCAAGTGATTCTCCTGCCTCAGCCTCCCAAGTAGCTGGGAATACAGGCGTGTGCCACCACATCCAGCTAATTTTTTTGTATTTTTAGTAGAGACAGGGCTTCACCATGTTGGCCAGGCTGGTCTCATTATTCCTGACCTCTTGATTCACCCACCTTGGCTTCCCAAAGTGCTGGGATTACAGGCGTGAGCCACTGCGCCTGGCCTGCAAGTACCAATTTTATGAAATAGCGTCTGAATGTGAGCCGCTATTCTCTGCAGTTCAATAAGCATGAATATTTGCTATGGATTTGGCATCGTGCTAGGTACTGGGGATGCGAAGATGAGTTAGATATAGTTCCTGACATTCAATTACTATGCAGGGAGCAAGGTGGGCTGAATTAGTTAGGGCTCCCTAGTGAAACAGAGCCAACAGGACGGACAGATAAATAGTAAACAGGGATTTATTTTAAGGAATTGTCTCATGCAATTTTGGGGGCAGACAAGTCAAAATTTGCATAGATCAGCAGGCTAGAGACTCAGAGAAGACCTGATGTTGCAGCTAGAGTCTGAAGACAGACTAGAGGCAGAGTTCCTCCTTCCTTGGGGGACCTCAGTTTTTTGTTTTTGTTTTTGTTTTTTTCTTTTTAATGCCTTCAACTGATTAGATGAAACTCACTCTCATTATGGAGATTCATCTGCTTTGCTTAAAGTCTGCTGATTGAACTATTAGTCATAACTAAAAAATGCCTTCACAGCCACTTCTAGACTGCTGTTGACCAAACATCTGAGCCTAGCCAAGTTGACACATAAAAACTATCACACAGGCATGTAGGCAGATGTTGATACCATAGTGCACATGATTGCATTTCTGCAAAGTAAACTAGGTCTTTCTTTAACAAGAAGTTCTCTACACATTTTGGCATTCCAAAACTAACATTTGGGGACTGCTTTCTCTGTATATGTCATGCACTCTACAGGGTGCATTCATACGCATGGTTTCGATCCTTACAACAATCTGTGATATGGGTATTGCGCCTTTTAAAAGAGAAAGAGGTTCAAGTAACATACATGAGGTTCCACTGCTGATGTGTAGTGGAGCTGGTATTTGAGGCCAAGCCTCTGCACTACTCCAAATTCAATAATCTTTGTTCTACATCATGAGACCTTTAACAAACCTATCTAGCTTGAAGCTTAGCTTTTCCTAAAAGAAGCACTTCTTTAGCCAGGAATACTACCGTATCGCTAGATTTTGTAACAGGAATCCCTATGCCCCACACCAAGCCCCACCACTTAAGGAAGTGAATCAGTGCTTCCAGCTCATTTCCTATTGGCTCTGAAGCTTGGAGAGTACCATGACTAGCCTCAACCCTATTGGGTCGTGTTGAATCAATAAGCTGAAAAGGAAGCTTCTCAAATATCACTATTATGACTGAGTTTTTGTCACACATACTTAAAAATTTTCTCTTTAACTCCAAGCCAGACATAGACCACATAGCAGCTAGTCTTTCTCAATAGACAAGACAGAATTGTTAGTACTAGAGTTCTCTGTTAACTGCTCAGTATATAAAGAATATCCTGCTTTAAACTTGCCAGAATTAAACAGGAAATGAACTGCAAATGAAAAATGCATTCTCTGGAGTGCTAACTCTCAACATGAAAACAGACACATGATATGAATGCAATAATTATTTATTGATAGCCTACTAGGCGTCAAACACTGTTGGCCTTCCAAGGAAAGCAAATGAGTAGGAAAAGTCTCGTACCTCAAGGATGCACAGAATGGGGAAAAAGGGAAGAAATAATATTTATTGAATGGCTTTTACATAGCAGTCATTTTATCATCTCATTTAATCCTAACAATCCCATGAGATAGATAGCATCAGCCCTTTATACAAAGGGGGAAACGTAGTGTAGAAAGTAGAAAAGTTCCTCTTTAAAGTCTTCTTTCTCGTTAAATAATAAATCATACGTGTGCTAATAACTCTTTGTTAAGCCCTATCCTATGTAGCTGTTAGACATGTCATGCTTACAGGCACGTAGTACATTCTATGTCCTTATACTTTAACCAAGATATCTGTGCTGGATGTGCTCACAGGCATGTCCCAGCTCGCCACTGCTTTTACCTGTTTAGCAAAGTTTTAAGTTGTTAGCCAATCGGGTTTTAGTTTAAATCACAGCAAAATGGCTAGCGAGAGTACCCTTCCTGCAGCCCAGGCAGTAGAAATTGCTTTGCTGAGAGATCTGTTGTCTCAGTGCTGATTTTTCTTTGTGGCCCTGAGCATCTGTTTCCAACACTTAGTCTTAGCAAAATGGAGTGACTTGCCCAAGATGACACAACTGGTAAATACTGATAACTTACACCAGATCTCTCTCTAAATCCAGAGCTCATTAACCTTCCGCTGATCACATTGCAGAGGAGATAAAACAAAAATACAAACCATTATAGCTAGGATGGACACCAAGAAGGGGTCAAGTAAAGCCTGAGGAATCTGAAGACGTTATTTGAGATGTCTCTAGAAAGAACAGATGGTATTTTTCAGGCAGAGATGAGAAAGAGCATTTCAAAGGAGAGGAAAGAGCTTGAGTGAGACTTAGAGCAAGAAGTAGAAGGGGTTTGGAGGGTAAGAGTTGGAAAAGCTTTCTTGGAGTTTTAAAAGCAGGATGACCTTCCTAAACTAATAGAGATTAGAGCAGAGCAGATTGGAAGATAAGGAAACGAGGTGGGAGATCCTTGCAAGTGTCTTAGAGAGCACCTGGAGGAATGGAAGAGAAGACAGATTTGAGAGACAGCACGGAAGAGGATTGCAGGGTGACCCTGAACTGAATGATGGACCGGTGAGTTCAGACTGATGTAGGAGAATGGAACCAAATGCAGTGCTGGAGTAGGTGACCAGATAAGGGCCATGCAGTAGAAGTCAAGAAAGATGAAAAGCAAAAGCATAGCAGAAAGAAGGAAGGAGGGAGTCAGAAAAGAAAGGGATTTCCGAATGTGCCGTCCTGAAAAATGGAGTGGATCTGAGTTGTGACCAAGCCTCCTGGGGAGTGGCTGAGACCAAATGAAGACAGAGCTTATCCAAATAGAAGACACCAGAAGATTAAGAACCTTGAAGTCACTGGGAAAGCTGGCAGTGAATTACATGGAAAGGCAGTCAGTGCTCCAGAGACGGAAACCATGGAAGAATGTGAGAAAAAGTCCTCAGAATTACAAGTGATTGGGCAGTGAAGGGCAGAAAAGTCACAAGTTTACATCAAATCAGAAAAAAATCAGTCCTCTACAATATGGGTGGTGCATTATCCTGCAACCACAGTGGGCATTTCCACTGGAAAACTTAACAATAAGGGGATCTCACTTACTTCTCACGTCTTAGGGGAACAGGACATAGTAGGCACATTCACATAGGGTATTACATTTTCACATTTGCTAGCAAGGAATGTCAAGGGAGGCAACTAGTGCTATCAGATAACATTGAAATGCCTCACCCTCACCTTTCCTCACCTGTCCTGTGACCCACCTAGCCTGCATAAACCCAGTGAAGAGGAAAAAGATCAAAGCTGAGCAAGTTCTCTTCCATTTTTGCTGAGTCAACCACTTGCTCTCACAGGAACAGGCATGCATGTTTGAGGACACCCTGCCCATCTATATCTCTTGTGCTGTCAAGTTGAATGGACAAAGTGTTAGTTCATGTGATGTGCAAGAAGACTTGAGACTGAGCGAGTAACTTCTAATCATCATGAAGTGTAAGAGAAAAGGCTTTCCAGTATGGAACTGAGCTGCATTCCAGCCCCATGACTTGGCATTGGGTTTAGCGACTGGGTCAGCAATTGTACTCCAGTTGTTGCTTCTATTTTCTACAGGGTGTTGCAAGCCTGGAACTTCCACCCACCCAAAGCAGACTGTCAGAGCTTATCTGGCGTTGTTAGTGCCGAGCTCATTGTGTTGCCATGCGTTGTCTAGTTTAGGCTTGATTCAACTGTCACATAATCCACGGGAAAATGAAGAGCTCTATGGACTAATCTCCATTTAATTTCAATTTTCTATTGTTAGTGCTCTGCCTGCTAGGGAATGCCAGAAACTGTTCATTAATAATTACAAGGTAGGTTGGAGCAAAGAAATGAATGGTGTAGCTGTCAGTCATAAGGGAAGACTGGGGAAAACAGCCCTGGTTGCCCGCAACTGACTAGATGCATTTGCTTTGTGCTGACATTAGAATCTCATTCGGAAGCAACCTGGGAGGTCAATGAATCCAACTGCTCTCTCAGAGCAGCAGCACTGGAATATGGTCTTTTGTTTTTTTCTTGCACTGTCATCCTGGCTGGAATGCAGTGGCACAGTCTCAGCTCACTGCAACCTCCACCTCCCAAGTTCCAGCAATTATCATGCCTTGGCCTCTTGAGTATCTGGGGCCACAGGTGTGTGCCACCACACCCAGCTAATTGTTCGCATTTTTAGTAAAGATGGGTTTTTTCCATGTTAGCCAGGCTAGTCTCAAACCCCTGGCCTCAAGTCATCCCCCAGCTCAGCCTCCCCAAGTGCTAGGATTACAGGTGTGAGCCACTATGCCTGGCCCTGGAATATGGTCTTCTGGGCTCAGAGAGCTGACTCCCTCATTATCAAGATGGCCTTGCATTTTCTCCCCATTGGGTTTAGTTTTCATAACTATATTAAGAGCTAATATTTAGTGAGTGCCCATGATGTGCTATGCACTGAGCAAGTTCTTTAAATGCATTATCTCAAATAGTCCTCAGAATAAACCCATAAGGTAGGCACTTTTATTTCCATTTTTCCAGAGGGATACAGACTCAAGCCTCATGGAGTCAGGATTTGAACACACATATATGCAGGTCTGGAGGACAATAGATCCCATCTTGTCTTCACTCATGTCCCATGCTGGTCCCCAGGGCTCCAGCGGTGCATTCCAGGATGCAATCAAGATTCATCTGGAATTCTCTAAAGTGCTCCAGCAGACCTTGTGCAACCTAAATGTTCTGTCAGCTCCTAGCTGGGGATGACATAAATCAACAGCTTCATTCACAATAATACTAGTAACGACAACAGGTTTTAAAATAATTTGCATATGGATTGTTTTATCCTCACAAAAGTCTTATAAAATGAGAAGAACAAGTAGTTTACAGTTAGTTCAGTTTACAAATCAGAAACCAAGATTAAGTAATTTAAATTCCCTAAGTTATAGCTAGCAAACTGTGGAATCCAGAAATCAAACCCACGTCTTCTAAGCTCAAGGTCAGCGGGTCTCAGAGTGTGGCAACTGAACCAGTAGCATCCAGGAATTTGTTTTAAATAAACATTCTCAGGGCCCAGCACAGACCTAATAAATCAGAAACTCTGGAGGTGGGTCCAGCCGTCCATGTTGGAACAAGCCCTCCAGGTGACGGTGGTGCACACTCTAGCTTGGTCTAGGCCAATGCTTCTTCCCTTGCCCTGAGCAGTGTTAACCTTACCACCTCAAGTTCCAACCCTCTTCAATGAATAAAAAGAGAAAAAAGTGAACTGTCTAACAGAATCTTTTGCACCTGAAGTTCAGTTTCATCAGTGACTTCTTAAAATTATGCCTGAGATTCTTGGTGTTGGAAAAAAAAAAAAATACCACATCTCATCCCCAAAGAGGAGTTAATAAAGTCCGCTGAACTTTGTTTATTTTCTCACGGGGAACTCAAGTGAGATGATTCTCCAAAATAGGGATTGCATTTTTTTCCTACTTATAACAAATTTTATCTCAACAAAATCACATCTATGAAATGCAACACCATCATAATCACAAATGGCTTTTTTGAGAGTTGTTTTTGTTTGTTTGTTTGTTTTGTTTTGTTTTGAGACAGGATCTCTCTCTGACACCCAGGTTGGAGTGCAATGGTGTGATCAGGGCTCCCTGCAGCCTCAACTTCCTGGGCTCACGCACTTCTCCTGCCTCAGCCTCCCAAGTGGCTGGGACTACAGTTGTGTGCCACCATGCCCAGCTAATTTTTATTTTTTGTAGAGACAGAGTCTCTCTGTTTCCCAGGCTGTTCTTGAACTTTTGGGGTCAAGCACTCCTCCTGCTTTGGCCTCCCAAAGTTCCGGGATTAGAGGCATGGGCTACCATGCCTGGCTAGGAGTTTTACTTTTGATAGTGTTTTGCCTATGAACAGTAAATTAAAACAAATATTTTCCATGCTGTGTTTGGTTTCCTGTTCTTGCAATAGTTTGCTGAGGATAATGGCTTCCAGCTCCATCCAAAGGACATGATCTCATTCTTTTTTTGTGGCTGCAAAGGACATGATCTCATTCTTTTTTATGGCTGCATAATATTCTATAGTGTATATGTACCACATTTTCTTTATCCTTTTATTCCTGATGGGCATTTGGGTTGATTCCATGTCTCTGTTATTTATGTTTTCTAAACAAAGCTTACTTCTAAAATTGTTTTCAAATTCTATGATGTTTACTCTAGTTTTTATGTTTAAATTAGTTCATTTTGACATTAAAATTTGTATGTCATAAAAATCTCATAAAGAAGTTATCCAATTTTAATGCTTATAGTTTTATTATCTTTCTGTCAATAAAAGATCTGTTGGTGCCTAAAAAAATATTTTCCAATGAACTGTCTATTAAAAATCAGCATCTAAATATTAAATATCAGAGAAGCATTTAATGACTAATGAAAACTGGGGTTGGGGTACCCAAAAAAATAGCCGTCAAAATTAGTAGAAATAGCATTTATTTAAAATAAATATCCATTAGGGAGAAAGTGCTGCATAGAATGTAGGAGCATCGTCTTTAAAGTCAAATACCCCTGAGACCCAGCAGAGCTCTGCCACTTACTACCTACAGGACTTAGAACAAGTCACCTATCTATCCTCAATTGACTTTATGCAGAAAAATGGGAATCATAATTGAACCCACTCAGAGTTATCCTGAGAATTAAATGAGCTCACATATGAAAAATACTTAAAACACAGTGACTTCTACATAGCAGGGACTCAAAACCATTAGCAATTATTTTTGTGTTTTAAGTGACAGATATGTGCCATGTGCATAGTAGATCAGATGCCAGGGACAGAACAATGAATACCCTGTGAACTTTGCCCCTGATCCTTCAAGGCTCACCCTTTCACTCTATTCTACAAAGTCTGTTTCTGTTTTGGTTTATTTTTAATGTAGCACTTGGAATATATCCCGAATTTACATATAACCTGGCAGGGCTGGCCTGGCTACCAGTAAGGCTTTTTATTATAAGTACTATATTTTAACAAATTTAGGATACCATCAATGATAAGACACATTATTTCAGGTACTGTTCAAAAAGAAAAAAAAAACACTGCCAGCCATGAGATATCATTGATTGTGAAATACTCCCTTATTTCAATTCAAGAAGTAGTAGAAGGCTGGGTGCAGTGGCTCACACCTGTAATCCTAGCACTTTTGGAGGCTGAGGCAGGCAGATCATGAGGTCAGAAGTTTGAGACCAGCCTAACCAACATGGTGAAACACTCTACTAAACACGCTACTAAAAATACAAAAATTAGCCAGGCGTGGTGGCGTCCGCCTGTAATCCCAGCTACTGGGGAGGCTGAGGCAAGAGAATCACTTGAACCCAGGAGGCAGAGGTTGCAATGAGCTGAGATCACACCACTGCACTCCAGCTTGGGCAACAGAGTGAGACTCTGTCTCAAAAAAAAAAAAAGGAGAAGTAGTAGAAAAAAAGTTTGGTTTTAGAATTCATGCAATGTAGTATTTTCATTTCCCATCACTGCCTAGAACCCACAAAGAAACACTCTGCCTGGGTTATGTGTATATCTGTGTTAAGGGATAGCATGGGAAGTGGCTCACAAAAAGGATATTTCACAATAGATCAATCAGAACTGGCTTTGAAGAAATTTTCTGAGTCATAAAATAAATAAAATATTAATGGCAGATATTCTGCACCAAGAGAACAGTATGTTTCTGGAGCTGCTGGTGTACTCTATGAAAATGACTGAAGTCAGGTCAAGTAAAAATCCACTTATTTTGCTCCTACTCTTTCCATTCATTGTTAGGTGGAGGGCTACCAGCAAAATCACATCTATACTCTCTAGATATTCACGTACTAGTAGAAGAGGCAGAGATATAAACAGAACGTGGAGGACGGTTTCAACATGGAAATACGCACAAAGTCTAGAAAGAGTATAGGGAAAACGCGGCATGAGGGGAGGAGAGGGAGTAGGAAATGTGGCTAAAGAAGGCTCATTGAGAAGGCAATGCCTGAGCAGGTTTTGAATGACAACTAAGAGCTGAACAAGCATTTGGTGAAAGCAACAACGCTAACAAAAAATGTGAGTGTTATGTCTATTTCAGCTAATTTTGTTTTTCCACAGCTGTAGATTGGATTCCCTACCTCAGCTAGTCAGGAGTGAGCTTGTGAAAGAGCTGTACAAATATCTTTCTGCCAGAACCAGTGAATCTGGAAGCTCATATGAAGTCACTCATTATTACACACACACACACACACACACACACACACACACACACACACACAACAAAATGAAAAAGAACCTGCATAGACTTGGTACTTTTGTTTTCATGGCTTTAAAACAAAACAAAACGAAACGTTAGGACTGTGTCTTAAAGAGAAGTTGAGATATCCAATTTCTTTTCAATACTTCCTATTGGACTCTGCAAGAGAAATGAAGGGGCAAAATAACATGCATCAAGGCAGGGCACAGTGGCTCAGACCTGTAATCCCAGCACTTTCGGAGACCAAGGTAGGCAGATCTTTTGAGATCAGTTTGAGACCACCTGGCCAACATGGTATAACACTGTCTCTCCTAAAAATACAATAATTAACCTGTATGGTGGTATTTCCTGGTAGTCCTAGCCACTCAGGAGGCTGAGGCAGGAGAATTGCTTGAACCTAGAGGCAGAGTTTGCAGTGAGCCAAGATTGAGCCACTGCACTCCAGCCTGGGTGACAGAGTGAGACTCAGAAAAAAAGAAAGAAGAGAGAGAGAAAGGAGGGGAAGGGAAGGAAATGGGAAGGGAAGGGGAGGGGAAGGGAAGGGGAGGGGAGGAGAGGGGAGGGGAGGGGAGGGGAAGGGAGATTGTTAGACAATGCAAATTGATCAAATCAGGGAGATGGAGAGCATGTGTAATTTTTCTCAAAGGAGGGGTTTTGCAAGGAATGGTCTATGTTAGCTTGTAAAGTATGCACAAAATCAGTTTTTCTCTGGGCAGTTGTCCAACTCTGTCTTCTTTCCACTTCCAGTCAAAGCTGATGGTGTGGTAAAGCTTTTTTTTTATTCAGAAAGAACTGCAGTCAACCTTGACACTTCTAAATCTAGTGATTCATATCTCTGACCCTATCAGTTTGTCACTTCCAACCTAGGACCCCTCAAATGGCAGAAGTAACTTGAGCACAAATTTAGTGATGTTCCTTCCTTGCTTCATTTTATAGCTGTCATTCATCAAATTGCCTTCTTCCTACATCTGCCGCCTACTATACACCCTCATTGACACTCTGAGCAACACACCAGATAAAACCAGTTTGTTCAGAGATAGTATGCCAAGACAACCATATACCAGGCAATTCAACTTTGGACTTTCTGAGATTTCAGGGAGAATTTGTCCACAAAGAGTATATGCACAGACCAGGTTCCCTCTGAAAAAAATCCTGAATCAGTTGTGAAATTCCCATGACATTGATTATAATTAAGCAGAGATTGACAAGAAGATAAGAGTATGGCTCCAGTCAAGGAGAATTCATCGCATATAAATGTTTGCATGGCGATCATGAGATCATGGATGCAAAGCAGCTAGCATGGGGCCTGATATGTTAAACCATCAAAAGCTTAGTTTCCCCTCTGTGGGACTATCTGAAAGGCATCCCACCCTAATCTGAGGTAACAGGTATTCTGGAAGAATCCAAAGCTGTGGAAAAACGGAAACACAGAGGAAAGAGGAAGCTGTCTGGCTTGTGTTGGTTTATTTTTTTATCAGAACCTGTTTCAGCATTCTTACAGGGAAAAGC